ATATAAAGTCTTAGAAAAGAGCTTCAGGGTCAGAAATACCTAACAAAGCAAAAAGAATAACAAAGATTCTCTTTATGCTGAAGGACTAAAGAGTAAAGAAAATTAATCCCTACAGCTCTTTGGTTTTCACTTATGTGACCTCTCCAGATTTATGTATACAAAGTCATGAGGCTTTTATACTATTTTCAACATGAAAATAAGTTCTTTTGACTATACATAAATAGAATATATCTAATCTGAAACATGAGTCTAAATCATTGCACATTAAAGGTTTTCAAATTTATCCAGATCATAAAAATGTTCTTTGCAGTCTATACTGTTGTATTGTCAAGAGGTTGACGAGAGACTATAGCCTACTTCTCTCATGATTTCAGCATAAAAACACATCAAATATCAGCTAAATGGTTGCAAATATCCCCCAGTCTGTATTGTTTAAATTTTTACAATGTGCGTTTTTTTTTTCAACAAGCTATATAACACTCTGGAAGACAAAAAAAAAGAGTAAAAGTGTCCCTATAAGGAAACCACCAGGAGCAAAGCATCAGAAAAGACAAATGGGTCGCTTGACCGCAATCGGACATGCTACATGCTGCACGAGCAGTTTGAGGAAGAGCAGCGGGAACACCAAGGATGGAACAGACTTCCCTTATTGCTTCATGCCCACACTAAGCAGAAGTTTGGCACCCGAGTATGAGGCCATCCTTTATAAAGAAGTCACCGGAGGCAATCTAATCAACCACTAAGACAAGCAGCTCCCCACATGATTTGAGAAGCACTAGGGAAAAATTTCTCTTGCCCTAAGACAGTCCATGACCACCTTTTGGAGGTCCACTCCCTATAATAATGATGACAATGATAAAAAGCAAAACTCGATTACATTTGTTATGTGCCAGACATTGCATTTAAATTCCTTGTACGCACCAGCTTATTTAATCATTTCAACAAACTCATGAGATAGGAACTATTATCACCCCCTTTTTATAGTGCAGAGAACTGAGTGTCTGAGACTTGCCTGAGGTCTCACAGTTAATAAATGGTGGAACTAGGATCTGAATATGGATCATTTCACACCGAACTAATACTCTTAACCAAAACTAAACGATACTGCTTTGTGCCTTTGGATTTTGTTGCCTTTATTCCAAGATCTCTTTATTAAAATGGAAAATATCCCCAGGACAAAGTTGAGATCTTAAGAACTAAAAATGTTTTATACACTTCTGGATATAATCCCTTAGGTACTTTCATTTTTGTTTTCCACTTTATTGTTAACAACTTATAAGGGTCGTATTGTATGTGGGCAGAGAAAAAGTACAAAAAAAGGTACCTCCTTTATAATTCTTCTGCAGCTACTCCAGAAGCCACATCCCTAAGTAGAAAAAAATCTTGGGGTGCACAATAAAAATCTCAGCTTTAAGTAAATTTTCACTTCTTGAAAGTACTCACCATGATTGCCTTGGATTTATATGGCATTTTATTGTTCTTAGCAATTTCTATCAGGTACTGTTCCACTAGAACATCAGTCCCCAACCTTTTTGGCACTAGGGACCAGTTTCATGGAAGACAATTTTTCCACGGACTGTGGGGGGGGGGTAATAGTTTCAGGATGATTCAAGCAAATTACATTTATTGTGCACTTTATTTCTATTATTATTACATTGAAAAATACATAGCACAAAAACGTTGCCTTGTTGTCAACATCGGTAGACTCGTCAACCTGGATTACATACCACAGTGACTCATTAATCTTTTCTAACAATTGTGCCTCAATATCTTCTGCTATTTCATCAATTCGTTTAGTTATGGTGCTAACCAAAAGAGGAACACATGCCACCTTTTGAACTGCAGCCTCTCCTAAAATTCATGGCAAGTGTCCTTAGCAGCAGGCAGGATCAGCTCTTCACCAACAGGAAAGGGCTTCTTAGCTTTGGCAATGCGTTAGCCACTAGGAATGATGCTCTCAGTGCAGACACATTTGATGAAGTGGTGGCCATCAATAAATGCTTCTGTTCTTCACATTCATGTTTTTTTTTTCTTTTGAAAAACACCGAAGGCTTTTCCTTGAATGCAGGGTGCTTGGTCTCCATGTGGCAAAGCAGTTTTGAAGGTTTCACGCCTTCATTGGGTAGCCAGTCGCCACATATTACACAAAGCGGGCTTGGAGAATGTGAATCGCCTGTTGCAATGAATCTGTAATTTAAGTAGGACTCTTGGATTTTCTTTTAAATGCAGCTTTCATTTTGGTGGCAGTCTTAGAGTCTTCTGCTGCCTCATCATTGGGTATTTCTCCCTTTTCAAAGAAGCTCTCCAGCAATGTTTGTTTTTTATTCATCTTTGCTAGGGTTAGCTTGTGGGCTGACCAAAACTGACTGAGACAAGTGCGAGGGTGGGAAAGAGGTGCAGATGGAAGTGGTAAATAAAACAATGGGTGGGCCAGGAATGGACTAAAATAAGTGTCAGATTCTGACTGAAAGCCTGCCACCAGATGCAGCTGCACTATTGAAGTGCATCAACTCACTTGCCACTATAAAGCCTGCCACCAGATGCAGCTTAATTGTCACTTGCCACTCACTGATAGAGTTCTTATATGAGTCTGCAAGGAACTGATTTATTATGATCTCAGTGCAGTCAAACCTCTCCGCTAATGATAATCTGTATTTGCAGCCGCTCCCCAGCGCTAGCATCACCACCTCAGCTCTGCTTCAGATCATCAGGCATTAGATTCTCATAAGGATCATGCAACCTAGATCCTTTGCATGTGCAGTTTGCAGTAGGGTTCATTCTCCTATGAGACTCTAATGCCAGCGCTGATCTGATAGGACGCAGAGCTCAGGCAGTGATGCCAGCGATGGGGAGTGGCTGTAAATACAGATGAAGCTCCCCTTGCTCACCGGCTGCTCACCTCCTGCTCATCTCCTGCTGTGCATCAGGGTCTCTAACAGACCACGGACCAGTACTGGTCCGCAGCCTGGGGTTTGGAGACCGAAGCACTAGAACCTGGGATCGAGTGTTCCTATTTAATTTACACATTAGCTGCAAAATAAAGAACACAACAGATTTGGTCACATATGTATTTACAAAATAAGAAACAAGAAGAGTTTAAGTGGTCTTTCAACCCTGAATTGTTGTTCTTCATCTTTCTATTCTCTGCTGAGATGTACAATAATAGCCCTCCCTTACCCATGGTTTCAGTTACCCATAGACAACCACAGTCTGAAAATATTAAATGGAAGATTCCAAAAATAAAAAATTCATAAGTTTTAAATCGTGCACCATTCTGAGTAGTGTGATGAAATCTCACTCCATTCTACCTGGTCTATGAATCATCCCCTTCCCTAGCATATCCATGGTGTATGCTACCCACCTGTTCATCACTTAGTAGCTGTGGGTTCACAGATTGACTGTCAAGGCGTTCCTTGAGTTCGAGTAACTTATTTCACTTAATAATGACCCCAAAGTGCAAGAGTAGTGATGCTGGCAATTCAATATGCCAAAGAGAAGCTGTAAAGTGCTTCCTTTAAGTGAAAAAGTCAACGTTTGTGATTTAAGGAAAAAAAAATAAAATCGCATGCTGAGGTTGCAAAGATCTATGGTAAAAATGAATCTTCTATCTCTGAAATTGTGAACAAGGAAAAAGAAATTCATGCTAGTTTTGCTGTAGCACCTCAAATGGCAAAAGTTACAGCCATAGTACATGATAAATGCTTCGCTAGAATGGAAAAAGCATTAAATTTGTGGGTAGAAGACATGAACAGAAACATACTTCGGTTCAGTACTATCTGCTGTTTCAGGCATCCACTGGAGATCTTGGTAGTATAGTAATCCTCTGCAAAAGGAGGAACTGCTGTATACTTTTTTAAAAGATATATAATTCAGCAACAAGGAGGGGCCCTACTTACAAATGTGTCACAAGACAGCCCTATTCTGGAATTAAGGAACTTCAAACCAAGTGGAATAATAAGAAGAAAATAAATATAAAAATATTTGTATCAATAATTCTGATTTTGCGGTATTTGAATTATGTCAGAGGTGACATTCCGCCTATTGAATAACCAGTGCAACATGGCACTGACCAATCACAATGGACACCCTGAAATACAAGAATGTCCACCAGCCTTAAACAACTGCTGCAGCCAGATCTCTGTGTTCAGCTGAATGTCAGTCCTGAATTATGTGTGGTCATGATGTCACATGTTCAAAAGTTGAAACTTCTAAGTTTCATTAGGTTCTTTCATATTACTAGGCCAGTTACTTCGAGGAAAATGTGTGCTTTCTTAAAGTTGTTCTTCCTCCAATGCAAAATTTATTTCTAGGCATCTTTCGGTCTGCACAAAATTATGTATTCTCAGTTTGCTCAGCTTTTTGCAGACTTCTTGGTTTAGAAAAAGGTATGTCTCTGGAAATGGTATTACCTGAGAGGTGACAGTTCCAATCTCATTGGCTCGACACACTTGACCATGTTCTTGGCTGTATTTTGCACTCAGCTGATTAGACACCTGCAGCAAACCATCACCAAGAAAGAAAGGCAAAATTCATCGGATTAAGGCAAATTTGCTTTAGACGAATAGCAACCAAAAGAGCAAAAATCACTTTCATGTTACCTCATTGGAATTATGTTCTTTGAGCATCAAAACAACAAAAGCGATAAAACACTTTGTTTTGCTTTGCTTTAAGTATCTGATAAACGTGCAACTTAAACCCTCTAATTCTAAACACCTTATAAATTATGACATTGCTCCCCAAAAGAAACCCAGTTTTTAAGTTTTATTTTAGTTAAGCCTTATTTATTTTTTCTACCATTGTCATGAAAAAAAGTATTTGTTTTTCACTTAAGAAGACTAATAAAAGCAAATACTTTTTTGGTTATCCTTTAAGAGAGGAAAGAATTCCCCCAGTAATTCTACAATTCCAAATAAGTAACACTAGGGATAGCCACACCTACAATTATGTCACAGGCAGTTAGAACTGGTCAATCTTACTATTTTCAACTCAGGGACTTATGACTACAATTGAGGAGCTGCCCAGATTAGTGCAGATTTAGGTTCAGCCAGACCAGAATCTAGTTCCCTAAGAAAAGCACAAAATTATGAAACTCTATATTTTCCTCTTTTTTCCCTACTTCAAAGGTAGCCCATGGGCAATATTCATAACACAATGTTAAATAATAAGAAAATGAAAATTTTAATATAAACCTATATGTAAATATATATGTGTATACACACATATGTACATTTATACACACACAGTTACATATAGATATACATATATACACTGAAAGGAAAGCTACCACAATTCTTATCTCTAGACCTGGAGATAAATCTGATCGCTATGCCCTGGGAGACAGCTATCCTGCTGAATACACTTGCTGGTAAGGGACAGAGTATGTGATGGACCTGCTGAAAGAAGATCTCACATGCCCAGTTTGTTCCAGTCTGTTTGATGGTCTTTGGGGTTTGCCTTGCTCGAACAACTTCTGCAAAAAAAATGCTTAGAAAGTATCTTAGAGGGGAATGTGTGGAATTTGTCGTGGAGACCAACTCGATTCAAGTGCCCCGGGTGCTGCACTGTACTCAGCTCCTGGAGACAACAGCCTGCGAGTTAATTACTCCCTGAAGGGTACTCTGCAACATATAGCATGATCAAGATCTCTCCCAAAATGCAAGTGTGCAAAAGACACTTGTACCTCTCAACATTCTCTGCCTGACTGATATGCAGCTGATTTGTGGAATCTGTGCTACTTGGGGTGATCACACCAAGCATGTCTTCTGTTGTATTGAAGATGCCTATGCTCTGGAAAGGGATGGGTTCCTTTAATGCGCTTCTCCAGAGCGAGACTTGGCGTCGAGGAGTTGCTCTTTCTCGCTTGGGCACCTTGGAAACTAGCAAGAAGAAATCCCTACAGTTACTGACTAAAGATTTAAATACAGTGAAGGAGTTTTCTGAGAAGTTACAACACATATTGGATCAAAAAAAAGAATGAAATCCTGTCCAATTTTGAGACCAGGAAACTTGCAGTTAGGCAAATTCTGACGCAGAGATCAACAGACTCCTTACTGTCTTGCACAAGCAATGAATGGCCTTTAACATTGCTGAGGCTTTCAAAGATGTGTCAGAACTTGTCATATGCTGCAACAGATGCAGGAATTCTGGGTGGGGGGGAACCAAAGTAATCCAGCAAATTCCTTTACCTCCCTCTAATTTGCCCACAAGTCCTTTAATGGAGAACTCTGATGTTCTTTTTATGTCCTCAGTGGGAGGACATAAAACTAGTACCCGTGCATAAACTTCCTCTGCCTCAACACAGTGGCATGTTCATTAGCAAGATTCCCTGGAGCTTTTATCAATTATTTTTGGTAGTCCTTCTGTTTGGTCTTCTTGTTTTCTTCAGTCCTACCATATTCCTAAAACGGTCTTTATTTGATGAATTCGCAACTTGGAAAGACCGTCTTTCAAACTTCGGATCCTATCTGACTACCTCAGCCAATTGTATGGAATAATTAGTTTTTCCAGGGAACAGGTGACAGATGGGTTTTTCATTTTTAGTGAAAGATTCAAGACTTGCACTTTGGTGGCACTGAACAATGTGGCAGGATTTGTATGCAAATAGAAAATACTTCCAAGGTAGCCCATGGACAATGTTCACAATACAACAAATATTTAATCTTTAAATCTTTAAAAAGAAAGATTTTTTAAAAACTGAAATTGGAATATAAACCTGTATGTACATATACATATATATTTGTATACACACATGCATGTTTATACACACACAGTTACATATAGATATACACATACAGACTGAAAGAAAATATCCCAAAATTCTTATCTCCAGATCTTGCCTGTATTTTCCAATTTTTCTACTATAAGTTTATATTGTTATATATCCTTACAGCTCAAGGATAAAAAACCAAACACAATTATTTGGTTTTTTAAAAAACTCAGCTCTTTGGACCAACACATTCTCTTCAAGCAAGGGTAGTTGTCCCTATAAAAGAGACAAAGTTCTTTAATGGTCCCAACAAGTTAGAGGCCACCCTCCCCTCCCCAGGTGGGAGGAATGCCTTGTCACCCCTTTGAGCCTGGGAAATGATGAATTCACTTTGTGGCCTGAATCAGGCTAAACCAAGCCAGCAGCAGGTCACAGTACAGCTCCAGGATCTCCGTGGCCTCCATGAGGTGGTCTTCCTGGATAATGTGCTCTGTACGGATCTGAGCTCGTTCATCCTTCCCAGCAGCCAGATGGTTGGCAACCTCCTTCCTTGCTCTCTGGGCCTGCTCAGCTGTAGCACAAAGTACATATAGGAAAAAAACTGTGCAAAGAGGAATTTGCTAAATAAAATAATCAGGTTATATAATAGTGTAAAACAATGTTTTTTCTAAAAACATATATACACACTCAAAATCTACTGTATATGCATAGATAAAGTTATGTGTCACTGGTTCTCAGTGTCATCCCCAGATTGGCAGTATTAGCATCACCTCGGAACTTGCTAGAAGTGCAAATTCTTGGGCTACCCCAGAGACACTGAATCAGAAACTCTGGAAGTGGAACCCAGAAATCTGTGTTGTAACAAGCTTGCCCAAGGATTCTGACACCTGTTAAAGATTCAGAACCCTGTAGTTTTATAGGTGATCTTTATTTTCTTCTTTCAGTTTACTTTTATTTTCTAAAATGTTCCATAGTGAACATTTATTACTTTTATAATAAAAAAGATTATTTAAAAAAGAAAATGCATGTAGCGCTTTGCTTTTTAAAAAATGTTTTCATAGGCCAGGCATGGTGACTCACGCCTGTAATCCTAGCACTCTTGAAGGCCGAGGTAGGAGGATCACTTGAGGTCAGGAGTTTGAGACCAGCCTGAGCAAAAGTGAGACCCTGTCTCCACTGAAAATGAAAGAAATTAGCTGGGCAACTAAAAATAGAAAAAAATTAGCCGAGCATGGTGGCACATGCCTATAGTCCCAGCTGCTAGGGAGGCTGAGACAGGAGGATCACTTGAGCCCAGGAGTCTGAGGTTGCTGTGAGCTAGGCTGACACTATGGCACTCTAGCCAGGGGAAGAGAGCAAAAAACCAAAAACAACAACAAAAAAATGTTTTCATAGGTACAGTTCCATTTGATCGCAGCACCTGTGAGTTTTATACTGTTATTTTCATTTTACAGCTGAGAGAATTGAGACTGAGGGGTTAAATGGCTTGCCCATGGTCATATGATTAGGAGTAATTGGTTGAATTAGAATTCAAGGGCAAATTTCAGGCTGCAAATTCCTGTGCTTTCTTTTTTCTTTTTCTTTCTTTCTTTCTTCTTAAGGCACATTATGCCATAGAATGAACAAGTAGAGTCATGCTGGAGAGGTAACAGATGTAACCTGTCCCAGGCAATCCACTGGGACAAGTCAAGTCATACTACTTTGTGTTATAAACTGTTGAACTGATGAACTGATGACTGAGCCTGGGAAAATAGTCTTTTCACAAGCCAGGAAAACCTCTGAGCCTCCAAATTATATACTCTGTTCACCATACCCTAAAAGTGATGTTTATCATCTGATCATGAATAGACAGAGTCACTCTGTCACGCAAAACATGTTGACCTAAGACTGCATTTGTTTATTTTTTCTTATTATTTTTTGAGACAGAGTCTTGTTTTGTCGCCCCAAGGTCTTACTCTTGCTCAGGCTGGTTTCAAATTCCTGACTTCAAGCGATCCTCCTGCCTCGGCCTCCCAGAGTCTAGGGTTACAGGCGTGAGCCACTGAGCCCCTCCTGAGACTGCATTTGAATCTGCCCTTGGAAGGGAGAATAACTAAATCCAAAGTAGGAAAATGTTCTTTTCTCTAGCCTAGACATCTCAGGGAAAAGAAATCATGGTAGTATCAGACTTGTTTCAGATAAATGCTGAACTACTGTTATATAAATACCAATATCAGTAAACAATTGTTGTGTGCCCAGATAATAGTTTGTGTTACAGTATCAGTAAACAATTGTTGCGTGCCCAGATAATAGTTTGTGTTACAAATAGAACTCTGGAGTGATAGAAGGTCAAGGTTATTATCTTCTTTCAAAAAAAAGGAATAAACTGAGGTCTAACACAGGGCTAATTTCTTTTATTTATCTCAAATCACTCAGGCACTCCATGTTTGAATTTCTTCATTTGTAAACAGGATACTGGCTGGGTATGGTGGCTCACACCTGTAATCCTAGCACTCTGGGAGGCAGAGGTGGGAGGATCACTTGAGGTCAGGAGTTCAAGACCAGCCTGAGCAAGACTGAGACCCGTCTCTACTAAAAATAGAAAAAATTAGCCGGGTGTGGTGGCACGCACCTGTAATCCCAGCTACTTGGGAGGCTGAGGCAGGATTGCTTGAGCGCAGGAGTTTGGGGTTGCAGTGAGCTGTGATCACACAATTGCGCTAAGATACTATTTATCTGGATAATAATATGTATCACTGGATTGTGAGGATCAAATAAAAGAACATGTGATGGGTGCAGTGGCACAAACCTGTAGTACCAGCTACTGTGCAGGCTGAGGCAGAAGGGCCACTTGAGTCCAGGCGTTCGAGTCCAGCATGGGCAACACAGCACAACACGCACCCCCATCCCATATTAAAATAAAAAAATAAAGAAAGAACATGTGGGCATGAGGTTTAAAATTTACAAGGGCTGTTTACACCATGAACGTCATCCTTATTGTTCGTGGTAACAATAATGGATGTCACTGGGTTTGAATACATTTCTTTTGTTTCAGGTTCTTTCCTTAGGCCCTTATTATCGAAATAATGCCCAAACATCAGCAAGATCTGGCTAAAGAATGCCCAAAATCAATTCGGAAGTTTGAGTAACAGCTGCCTTCCACCATACATTACATTAATTCAATAGGGCTATTAACTGAGCACCCAGAGAATTGCATTTACGTGTAATACTTATCTCACCTGAACCTTCCTCATAATCAGAGATCACCAGTTTTTCAGTTTGTTGAGGGGTTAATGGCTCATGTGACCCACTGGAATGAGGAAACAGCAAAAGGCAACACAAAATATGTCAAACTTAAGAAGACAGCACTCATTAGCACTGTCCGGCTCACCAGCGTAATACTACTTGAGCTGCTTGAACTGATAGAAGGAATGGCATTTTGTGTGTGTGTTTGAAAAAAGTTAAAGAAGCTCTTCCAGAAAAATTTGCCCAGAGGTCTCAAACTCGATAACCACTGAACATTTAAAAAGACTGATTAGGCCTGTCATGGTGGCTCACGCCTGTAATCCTAGCACTCTGGGAGGCCAAGGCGGGAGGATCGCTGAAGGTCAGGCGTTCAAGACCAGCCTGAGCAAGAGTGAGACCTCGTCTCTACTAAAAATAGAAAGAAATTAGCTGGACAACTAAAAATATATAGAAAAAATTAGCCAGGCATGGTGGCGCATGCCTGTAGTCCCAGCTACTCGGGAGGCTGAGGCAGGAGGATTGCTTGAGCCCAGGAGTTCGAGGTTGCTGTGAGCTAGGCTGACGTCACGGCACTGAAGCCTGGGCAACAGAGCGAGACTCTGTCTCAAAAAAATAAATAAATAAATAAAAAGACTGACTAGATAACGTTCTCTGCCTTGGTGGAGAGAAGTCCAGTGATCTGGACATTGTATTATAGTTTCAACTTTTGAAAACTTTTTAAAATTAATCTTTTTATTTTGAGATAATTATAGATTCACATGCAATTCACATGTTGTAAGAAACAACACAGAATTATCTACAGTGCCCTATATCCAGTTTTCCCCAACTTGCAAAACTGTAGCAGAATATTCCAATCAGGATCTTGGTATTGATACAGGCAAGATACAGAACAGTCTTTGAAAACTTTTAAAATATGTTGTTCACTATAATAATCATTACCATTTTCCCACAAGTCAGAACCATTCCTTTAAATTTCAAAATTGCTAAGTAAGGTCTTAGGCAATATATCACCTTGGGGATTGCGCAGTGATCTGAGAGGAAGCTTGCTATGGAGTATTTCCTCACTTTTCTTTCTTTTTTTTTTTTTTTTTCAGGACTTTCAGGTGATTGATGACTAGTTGCAAGTTAACCCAAAGGTGATCAGCTTTGAAGGCAGAGCTGAACATTATTTCACCACAAGATACAGCAGCTCACAAATCACCTCGCTAAGCAAGCTTCCCAGAGAAAAAAGAAAGTTATCAGTATTATAAGGGGTTCCGATTTTTTCACACCCACTTTATTCATTCAACAAGCCCCATGGAATTCCTGGTCACTCAGCAATCGCCTGAATATACTTGCTTCTCTGTGGACCAATCCCTCAGATATGACTCTTGCAATTCAAATAGGCATTAGGTTTCCTTCACTTTATTCCAACAGTCAGTGTTTTTTTTACTGAGCGTCGGTATTTTATTTTAGAGTTCCGCAGGAAGTTTCTGACAAAAATGAAAGTCACTGGCAAGCGTCTGAGGAAGCATACAAGAAAGGGACATATTAGCAACTTGTAGGGAAATTATAAGACCTCTTTCTAAATAAAATAGTAATGAACTTTGAAGGGAAATCCCCGTTGGAATCTGGAGAGGTCATATAACATTAAAGGCATGTGGAGATGAGGATACGGAATTGTTCAGAAAAATAGACAAAAGAGAAGCTTGAAAATTACTTATTTCTACATGTGGACATCCAGAAAACCTTTTGAAAAGTAATCTAACGCCAGGCACCAACACATTTGTAGACAAACCTAAATCTATGAAGTATTCTATAATTTCAGTGTATACTTGGGATTAGTTGGTGTTCTGCCATTGGCACCCAAAGAATAAGTTCCTTTCCCAAAATGACACTTTTACATGCCTAAGCATACAAGCAGGAAGATATGACAATATGAAAAAAGCCAGCTACTCCTCTTGTTATGACACACATGGTTTCCCAAGTTACCAGTGCTGGTTTGATGCCTGATGTCAGAAAGAGTTGGGATAGTTTTCTGAGTTCCTGTGCCTGTACTACAGGACTAGAAAAGTCGCCAATGACAACTAGACAATGTGGAGAGCTGGTTAGAAACTCCTGCGGGTTTAGGGAGAAGAATAACCAGCATAACAGGGTTTTATTTTTGCTGTTTTCCTTCCAACAGAGTAGCTCAAGCCCTCACATCACGAAAATTCAATCTACACACAACAAAGGAATTCAATAAGAATTCAGGGAAAGGGGAGAGGTGGACAAAACAGATTGAAGGTTAACTTTTCGGTCCCCAAATGTCCCCAATACCTTTAAAATCCCCCTTTAATTCACAGTTCTTAAAACTCAGTAGAGATTAAAAAAAAAAAACCTCAGTGAAACAAAATGAAGGACTTCAAGATGAGAGAGATTGAAAACAGGTAGCTAACAAATAGGCAAAATAGATAACAGCAGAAATGAGGAACCGGGAGCAAAGAATTAGCCAGGAAAGTCTCCCAGTTTGGGATAAACTAGGATATCTTTGTGACGTTTCATTCAATGCCTATTTATTAAACCAGTTTCATGCATGAGAGCCTGAATTTACTTAATATATAAATAACTTAAGTAGGAAGTTATCCAGATTCCAGAGAATAATATTTTTGGATAAATAAGGTAACTTTTGGTTATTTTAAGTGTCATAAATCTAAAAACTATATTAGTTTATTTATCACTAATATTCCTGTCAAACTGTTACTATGGAGCTTCCTACCATCAAATGTAAGACCAAAGAAATCAGAATTGCTCGGAGCAAAGAGTTCTGGAACAGGATATAGCAGAGATAAGACTCACTCTTTTGGGACTGCAGCACCAAACCAGGAAATCACCTACATTTCACCTGTTTTTTAAACAGACACACCTTTGCATTACATTACTAAGTTAATGACTAGCAGCCAAAAAACCTTTTTTGCTTACATCTACCTGTGTCAGCTCTTACAGTTTTATACAAAAATTAAGCTCTCTGAGTATGTTTCTTATTTCTTCTTTTCTTTCTTTCTTTTTTTTTTTTTTATGAGACGGAGTCTCGCTCTTGCTCAGGCTGGTCTCAAACTCCTGAGCTCAAACGATCCGCACCCCCCTTGGCCTCCCAGAGTGCTAGGATTTACAGGCGTGAGCCACCGCGCCCGGCCTGTATATCTTGTCAACGGAAAAAAAGACCAAACTCTGTAAAGTAATTTTAAGAGATTTACTCCGAGCCACATTTGAGGACCATGACCCGGAGCCACACCCAAGAGGCCTTGAGCAGTGGACTCGCTGAGGTTGGGTTACAGTTTGGTTTTATACATTTCAGGGAGGCAGGGGTTACAGGTAAAGTCATAAATCAATACGTGGGAGGCATACATTGGTTTGGCCCAAGAAGGTGGGCCATCTCGAAGCGGGGGAGGTGGGGGCTTACAGGTTATAGGTGGGTTTAAAGATTCTTTGGCCTGTAATTGGTTAAAGACATGAAGCTTTGTCTAAAGGGTTGGAATGTTTCAACATAAGGAGCTGTTTATCAGAGATAAGCCACTGGACATAGATTTCTTGTGTAAATTGAGGACCTGCAGATTTGTCTTGCATACCCTTAGGCCTGTTAATGGGTTACAAAGGATGTCACCAAGAAGGGAGGGGGGCATGATAAAGCATGTCTGACCTCCTTCCTCCTGGCAGGAAATTTAGTTTTAGGATATTCCTTCGGCCAGGAGGGGGTCCATTTAGTCAGCTGGTGGGGGGGTGAGCCTTAAAATTTTATTTTAGTTCACAATTTCTTGATGTGGCATAAACTGGCTGTCCTTGAATATACCTGTGTTAACTTAATAAGTGACTGAAAAAGAGAGAGTCACACTCAATGCAGGTTTATTAAGCCAAAATTTTAAGGATGCACAGGGGAAAAACACAGCCCACAAAGTATCTGTTGTGGACTCTCAGTAGAACTTCACATTTAAAGGAAAAAGGGGATACACAGGAAAAATGGAGGGGTGACAGAGGTGAGTAGTGAGAGTGACAGGATTCTTGTGAAGTTCTATTTGGTGCTCGGTAAATCTACGTAAGATAAGATGATGCCTTGGGACAGTCCTAGGTAGTAAAAAATAAGGAAAAAAATACATAAAAAAAAGATAAGATGAATATTCAAAAAAGGGGGTTAGAGGAAATAGTCAATGTTGGGAATCTTCTCAGCGTGGGTAGCTGAGTGAGCCTGTCTCTTCCTTGATTTGTATCTGTGGAGATAAACTTGTAATCCACATTTAAGAGTTTATTTAGGCTACAGTCTTAAGGTTATAATTGACAGGCACTCATTTTATAGGGACTGTGGATCTTGGAGGAGTTTTGTTTAAGGCTGAAGGAACTAAGAAATATTTTAACCCAAAATACATTTCTTTGCCATATTTTGAGATGGCTATGGCCAAACAGGAATAATGCTTGTAAGGTGGTCTAGGTGGGGAGGCTGGGGGAGAGATTTGCATTTATAGAGAATCTCTGTTAGATGCAGCCAGGCCCTGCCTATTTGATCTGGGACATGCTTGCTGAGAATCTGACACCCTTAAAGGTCTGAATAAAAACATTTCCTTGAGGGCTGTTATGGTGAGGCTTATCTGCATAACAAGACCACCTTGCCAGCCAGGCTTCCTTTCTCCCTCCCATGTCCAGTCCACCAAAAAAACCCGTTTAGTCATTTTCTAAGCCCCTTCATTTCTTAAAAGAGGAGCCCTGTATCTCATTGGGGAGAGGATGGCAGTGCTTGTGTGACTTAGTTGTCAGGCTCAGTTGTCCCTTTTGGCATAATGAATTTTGGGGGGCCCTGAGATTTTTATTTTTCCTTTGCACCTGGATGGTCTGAGGGTGTCCACTTGACAGTTTTAATGCCAAATGAGCTTAGCAATGAACTAGACACCAGAATGCCTGTTAGCGCTAAAACTGATGCACCGAGGGACCACAGGACTTCCCTCTTAGCCAAACTGAGAGAGAAGGAGACCATCATGAATAGTATTAATATTCATGAAGCAAAGCCCTCCCCTCTGCTATTTAGATCATAGCAGCAGCTTCACTATATTTTTTCCACTGTGCTGGGTCTGGGGTGGGGTGTGTATGTGGTGGTGCTTAATAATTTTGATGATCCTTTGTGTCCATCCAGGTGAGAAAATATCAAAATGAGGTCTAGATTCTTTAGAATATTGGAGATCATGTACTGTATTAGTATCTTAACTTATTCATTTTTATATTTCTAAGATAATATTCTCACAACAAATTCAAATAAGTTGCCTTTGTACCTTTTGACCACCACCCAATTCCACTTTCTTTCCCAAAATGACCAATGTTAACTAGTTATATAACTAGTTAACTAGTTATATATTCTTCCACAAGTTTTCTGTGCAGCTACATAAACATATAAACCACAGTTGTATCTTTTAACATTAAATACATGATGTTTAATGTATCAGACAGCTACACCCTAGGGACCACAGACCAGCCAGTACTTTTTAATCAAACAAAAATCAGTTGTTATTTTTCGAAGAGTCTGCACAAACTCAAAGGAAAAAAATCCACTGAGAATCCAATCTCTCCAGCAATCAAGCTTATTTTTTCTCAATTTTGCTCGTTTTTTTCTGTAAAGTATCCATAACTGCTTTTTTACATAGTTGTAAATTCAGCTGGCGCTCATTTCTGTTTTCACTTAAGTTAATCAGATGTTCATGATGCTAGGAAGTGGACTAATTTGTAATGAATGGTGACCTAATAATATTGTATCGCAGTCAAGGCCTCTTTCCACTAAACCAAGCTGCTTCCCACCGTACTAAACCCCTCCCTCTTATTCTCCATAAACTTTCAGGTCTCCCACTAGTTGCTTCACCTGCCCCTAGACCCCGAGGCCGGTCCACCCTCATCTCCCTCTGGGCCATTTCTCAACTCTTAAAGAGTTCCTATCTCCGCCTGGGTTCCCAGGAGGGATCTCCTTACTCTCCTGGGCCTGGGTCACCTCCGTGTTCCCCCGAGATTCCCAAAAGGAGACTTCACAAGTCAGGACCGGAAGTCCAGGAAAGGGGGGGTCGCTGAGGCCACGCCCCAGAGCTCTGTGTGGGATCCCCAGAATTTACTTAAGTGGCAAAACTGCGGGGTCATTGTGGGGTCAGAGTGAGGGGGCCGGGCTCAGCCCTATTCACGTGACCCGGTGCTAGGGAGAGTAGTTTGCTTTCCCACCAGAGGGGGCGTTGGACGCGAAGGGCGGATGGTCAGCCCCCTCCGCTCCCGGGCAGTCCTGGGAGTCGCTCTTCGGCCCGGGCAATGACGCAATCTCTCCGCGCCGGGGGCGGGGCGCGCTTGACGCCATCGCCGGGCGCCCAGCTGGGGGGGCGCTGGGTGTGGGGCGGCTCCGGGGCCGGGGATGGCGGCGGCCGCGGTTGCGGCGGCTCCGGGACGAGCGGGAGGAGCCCGGGAAGCGCTGTGAAATGGGCCGGTGAGTGTTTTCGGGAGTGGTGGCCGCTAGGCTGGCCTTGCTGAGGCCAGTCAGGCCGGGGCTCGTATCCCCTGAGGAAGTGGCCCCCAGGAGCCAGTTGCCCCGCCGGGCCGGGGCCCGAGAACTGCGGACAGAGGGAGCGAAAGAGGCCGAGCCTAGACCCTCGCGCGCTTGTTTCTGGCCGGGCCGGGGAGGCAGCCTCAGGTCCTGGCGCCCCCCGGGACTGTATCCTAGCGGGCCAGGGTGTCTGAGGCTCCGGGGCGGGAAGGGGCCCCCAAACAAGGAAGCGTCGCCTGCAGGGCCTCGCCCCTTCCCTCTTGGCGAAGGGTCGGCTTCCCACTCTCTAAACGCAGAATTCCCAATTTTGGGCCCTACCCTTTTTGGAGCAAGGATTGCGGGATCACGGGAAGCCATAACCCCCAGTCTCTAACAAGCTTCTCCCTTTCTGTCGGGCGCACCTCTCGCTTTCAGCAAATTCGGATCTCCGACTGGGTTCAATCTCTTGATTCCGACCCAAGCGTAATGAGAAGCTTCGTTCCAGGCTCTGCTGGCAGCGTTGGCAGCTCTCAGGAACAGCCCGTTAGCTCAGTTGGGGTTATAAGCTGCGTCTTCCCCTTGAGAAATCCTCATTGAGCTTCTCCAGAGGCCAAGGTTTCAGATTCTGAAATGTGTTTTGCGTTGTGGGAACCTAGTGCACAGGCTTGTCTCTTTGTTGTACTGCCCGCAGACGTTTTGCCTCTTTCAGCGCTTTTATTAGCCTGTTTGCTAACTCCTCAGTTAACTAGAGGCAAGTTTTCTTTAATGTTTTAGTTGCCGAGAGCAAGGATCATTCTGGAATTGAAGATGTGACCCCAATTTCTGTTGGGCATGAAGGAGAAAGCTAACTACTTTTCAGTTGCTGAAACTGCTGGCAGAGAACAGATGCATGATTTGTACCCACACTGTAATTTGTGTTTGTGGGATTAGGAATTTGTCTTTCCACACTGTGTTTTCCTATCCTTCCACCTTTTGTATACACCTGCGTCTTGCCAATCTTAAGACATAAATGTTGCCTTCAGTTTGGGTAGAGGCTTGCAGCGTTTTGTAGGACTTGGACAGGACAGTCGGTAGTTTCTCAGAGTACTCATCAGAGTACTCTGTTTTGACAGTTTAAGTCTCCACTCTTCAGTGCTTGACGTTTCTGGCAAGTGTAGATTCAGATATGGATAGTTTGGCGGTAGTTTTGTTTCCCCAGTGATAACTACGTGAGGACCAAGGTGATAGTTTAAGTTTCTTTCACATCTGATACAGCACTTCGTATAAAGTTGTCACTCAGAAAATTTTACACACACAGGAGATCTTTTTTTTTTACCCTGAAAATCTGTTAATAAGTCTTCCCCTTGAGTGACTCCCCCTTGGGCGACTCCCCCTTGACCTCTTTTTCTGCCCCAGAAACATAAATAATTGTTCTTTTTCGTCTAGTGCCGCTTTTTTCATTTCAATAACCTCCACATCTGTGTTTTCATAGGCCCTGAATAAAGGTGAAATATATGGAGTTGATTTTTCCTGCGTCCCATTGTTCACATGGGAACAGTGTTAAGCCTTCCATTTTTATTCGTGCATTTCATTGAAATTTGGATTGGAAGTAAATTTAACCTTTTGGGAATAGGCATGGGTGGAGAATGAAGACTATGATATTAAGAAAAAACAATGAAATTTGACACATGGACATTTTTTTTCCAGGGATGTCTTACATGTTAGAGCTTAAGAAATGGCTTTTTCTCTATTCAGCCATCTAGGCGCTCTAGATAAATGTGCTGTTACCTCTGGAGAAGAGGATGCAGCGAGGACTCAGGGGCTTTAATGCTTTGGAATTGCCTTTCATGATGACCCTGGGAAGAATCAGAGGTCAGCCTCCTGCTTACCCCATTCCTATTTCTGTCTCCTAGGCTCCCAAGTCAGCCGGGAGGACACTTACTACAGCTGCTCAGAAGCACCACTGGAAGCTCAGGTAATACAGGGACTTGGGAGTCCTTGTAGCAGAAAAATATCTGGGATGTGACAGTGGAAAGACAGAATGTAATGTCATAGAAAGCTCTTTTCAGATCCAAAGAACTGGAGCCTGATTGGAAGAAGTAGGTGACAAAGTTCATGTGCGTTGAAGTATTCAGACCGAAAAGTTGTTCTATAATGGACAGAAGCATTTGTGAAAAGTGACGATAAGAGAAAGGAGAGAGAACTTTCTTATGAATCATACAGACATAGACATAAACAGGCATATTTAGAGGAATGGAACCAAAATTTTATGAAGTTGTGCCTAGAGCAGACCCATAATGGAAAACGAGTCATTGGCAAAAGAAAGGACAAAAAAGAAAAGAAAGGAAATGAATAAAGAAGGCACATTGAAGGTGGTCAGTGAGACGAAAAAAACTCTCGTGAGACTAGGGAGCAGGAAGTCTGTGTGAGATCAGAAGAGTTCTGTTGCTCTTTGGTGAGGAGGAGAAATAAGTTGTAGAGCAAACTAGTATAATCGCTCACTATAGTTGGAATGTAGTATACTTCATGGAGCAAGGAAGATGGCAGTTTTCATAACATGTTTAAAGAGCAAAGTTTTTAAAAGCACAAGCAGACCTCAGGACTTACTGACATCTCAGTCCTTGAGGTGCTGGTAACATGAGGCAAAGGAGGATGAGAGTTTAGCTAGGCTTGGGGTGGGAGGGATGGGAGTAGGTGAGATCATAACCCAAATTAGGCTAGGGAAAGGAAGCAAGGATGAGGTCATGTGTTCAGGGAAGGATGATGGCACATTAGTATTTCTTAGCAAAAGGAAAAACTTAAAAAGAACCAGCAGCAAAGACCATGTGTTCAAAGTCTCCTTAGAGGAGAAGGCTGAGAACAGTCAAGGTGCTCATGAGAGGCATGACTAGTTGTGAAGCTGTTGGTCTCTCTGGGGTTATGGATCCCACGGTTATTTATGCATGATTGAATGCTTGTCCTTATAGTGCTTTGTGGTTTCCCTGACCATTTGTCTCATGTCCTAGGTGGATGAATGGGGGTGGATTGGGGTCGGGGTGGGTAATCTCCTTGTCTGCCCCTTTCTCATACCTCCTTTTTTCCAGCAGTCTCCTTTGTTGTATTTTCCTCCATGGGCACAGTTCTTGCTCTTTCCTTTGACTTGGTTCATCTGTAGGTTACTTTTCTTTGCCTCTGATTTGTTCCCTAGCAGATGTGGGTGCCCCAGCCAGCAGCAGAGAGGGGTGCAGGGAAGCCACAGAGAAGCCCCTTCTGATGCCCCAAGGAGCAAGCCGACCCATTCCAGGCTCCAGGAACACCACAAAGCAATATGAAACCTGTTCATGAGAGGAGTCAGGAATGCCTTCCACCAAAGAAACGAGACCTCCCCGTGACCAGCGAGGATATGGGGAGAACTACCAGCTGCTCCACTAACCACACACCCTCCAGTGATGCTTCTGAATGGTCCCGAGGGGTTATGGTGGCCGGGCAGAGCCAGGCAGGAGCCAGAGTCAGCCTGGGGGGTGACGGAGCTGAGGCCATCACCGGTCTCACAGTGGACCAGTATGGCATGCTGTATAAGGTGGCTGTGCCACCTGCCACCTTCTCACCAACTGGCCTCCCATCTGTGGTGAACATGAGCCCCTTGCCCCCCACATTTAATGTAGCGTCTTCACTGATTCAACACCCAGGAATCCATTATCCCCCAGTCCACTATGCTCAGCTCCCGTCCACCTCGCTGCAGTTTATTGGGTCTCCTTACAGCCTTCCCTACGCTGTGCCACCTAATTTCCTACCAAGTCCCCTCCTTTCTCCTTCTGCCAACCTTGCCACATCTCACCTTCCACACTTTGTGCCATATGCCTCCCTCCTGGCAGAAGGAGCCACTCCTCCCCCACAGGCTTCATCCCCGGCCCACTCGTTTAACAAAGCCCCCTCAGCCACCTCCCCACCTGGGCAGTTGCCACATCACTCCAGTACTCAGCCGCTGGACCTCGCTCCAGGCCGGATGCCCATTTATTATCAAATGTCCAGGTTACCTGCTGGGTATACCTTGCATGAAACCCCTCCAGCAGGTTCCAGCCCAGTTCTTATCCCTCAGGAGGGCCAGTCTGCTCTGGAAGCAGCTGCTGCCAATGGAGGACAGAGACAACGAGAGCGAAATATAGTAAGACGGGAAAGCGAAGCCCTTGACTCCCCGAACAGCAAGGGTGAAGGCCAGGGCCTGGTGCCAGTTGTAGAATGTGTGGTGGACGGACAGTTGTTTTCAGGTTCTCAGACTCCACGGGTAGAGGTGGCGGCGCCGGCGCACCGAGGGACCCCAGACACTGACCTTGAGGTCCAACGGGTGGTTGGCGCTTTAGCTTCTCAGGACTATCGTGTGGTGGCAGCTCAGAGGAAGGATGAACCCAGCCCCCTCAACCTATCCCATCATACCCCTGACCATCAGGGTGAGGGGCGAGGGTCGGCCAGGAACCCTGCAGAGCTGGCAGAAAAAAATCAGGCCCGTGGGTTCTACCCGCAGTCCCATCAGGAACCAGTGAAACATAGACCTTTACCCAAAGCAGTGGTTGTAGCCAATGGCAACCTGGTGCCCACTGGAACTGACCCAGGCCTGCTGCCCATGGGCTCGGAGATCCTGGTAGCATCAAGTCTGGACATGCAGGCCAGAGCCTCCTTCCCAGACAAGGAGCCATCACCACCCCCCATTACCTCCTCCCACTTGCCCTCCCATTTCATGAAAGGCGCCATCATCCAGCTGGCTACCGGGGAGCTGAAGCGGGTGGAGGACCTCCAGACCCAGGATTTTGTGCGCAGTGCCGAAGTGAGCGGGGGACTGAAGATTGACTCTAGCACGGTCGTGGACATTCAGGAGAGCCAATGGCCTGGATTTGTCATGCTGCATTTCGTGGTTGGTGAGCAGCAGAGCAAAGTGAGCATCGAGGTGCCCCCCGAGCACCCCTTCTTTGTGTATGGCCAGGGTTGGTCCTCCTGCAGCCCTGGGCGGACTGCACAACTCTTCTCTCTGCCCTGCCATCGGCTACAGGTGGGAGATGTCTGCATCTCTATCAGTTTACAGAGCTTGAACAGTAACTCAGTTTCTCAGGCCAGCTGTGCTCCCCCAGGCCAGCTGGGTCCCCCCCGAGAAAGGCCTGAGAGGACAGTCTTGGGACCCAGAGAGCTATGTGACAGTGAGGGGAAGAGCCAGCCGGCAGGAGAGGGCTCCCATGTGGTAGAGCCCTCCCAGCCTGAGCCCGGTGCTCAGGCCTGCTGGCCAGCCCTGAACTTCCAAAGATACAGCATGCAAGGGGAGGAGGCACGGGCTGCGCTACTCCGTCCCTCTTTCATCCCACAGGAGGTGAAGCTGTCCATTGAAGGGCGTTCCAATGCGGGAAAATGAACCTGTTTCCCAGACCACGACTGGGGCTTGGCCCCAGAGCTGAGCCTCACTGTGAGCAGGCAGAGGATTTGCACATGCCGAGCAGGGAACGGCTCTCTTGGCAGTGAGATTTGGGGCGAAAGGGGAGGCATGAAGTCAGCCTCCCCAGGCAGGATCTGTTGCTGATTACTCCGTGGCATCCTTTCAGCACAGCCCCCAGAGGGTGCTGTGTTGGGGAGCAGCAGGCCTGGGCCAGGGAAGGAAGGGGGTGCACACAGGATAAGAAACATTCCAAAATCAGGGCCTCCCTGTTCTTTCCTCCCCATCCCTAGCTCCTACAAGGGGAAGTCCAGGCTTTGGGAGCAGGTGGCAGAGGGAGGGAGTATCGAAAGAGCCAAAAATGATGATCCACAGCTTATAGTAGCAGTTAAACTGTCAGAAGGTTTTTTTCTTTCTTTTTTTGTGTGGAAGGGCAGGAGGCCCCAAGGTTGGAAATAAGAGGGTTCCCACCCAGAACCCTTCTTGTGAGAGATGTGCACTTTAAAGGGTGACTTTGTTACAGATGTCTGTGGCCGGGTCTGTGGGAGGAGCACTCATCTAAGGACTCTGCTTGACCCTCTGCGTCACAGCCCTTCCCCGCCTCTCCTCACCATTCCTGCTACAATGCTTCTGGCAGCTGGGGGCAGGAGAGAGAGAAGCCCCTCCAGGGTTCAGACGGAAGTACCGCCTTGTTGGGGACCCAGTCAGAGAACTTTGGGAGAAAGGCCTGATAGCCAGGCTGACTGAGTTCCGGACAGGGCTCTGGAAAGGTAGCTGACCTAACAGCTCCTCCAACTCAGCATGCCAGACCTGCTTTGACATTTCACTGAGTCTTTAGTTGGTAACGGTGACTTTTGAAAGAACCAGTGGACTCTTTTCCCTAGGCACCCACACCCCGCCTTCGTCTGTCTATGTTGTGCCTAAGTGCCTGCGCTGCCCCCACCCTCCTGCCCTAACCTCTCTGCATGGTGTCTTGACCTGGGCCTCACTGGTAGCTGCACTGCCTTTCCTCTTCTGCAACATTGGTTTTGTCCACTCTGACCAAGAACTCTAGTTTTTTGGTATGTAGGGGTCTCTCTGATTTCCCCTTCAGCTGTAGTCTCCATTTTTAAAGACTCAATCATGTCCCCTCCTCTTCACTGCCAAACAGCTTGGTGGAGAAACAAGAAGGGAACTGTGCCCTGGGCCAGGGCAAATGCACCTGGCTGGCAGTGCCCATCCTGGCATTTTTACACAGCCTCTCCCAGCATTCTGGCATCTCCAAGGCGTCCCCTCCTACTGCCAGCTCTAAGATGATAGTCTTGATGACATTTCAATACCTAAAGTGGATTTCACCCTGTGGTGGTATATTCCTCTGCAAAGAGTATTCTCAGTCTTAGTTGCATTTGCCCCCCATGTCTCAAGCCCACGTTTTTTTCTTCACAACTTTCAGCATCAGCTCAGACTGTGGGGTTCCACTGGGTATTGGGAATTAGGCTCCCCCACTAGCTTTCAGGTGGGTGAGTGGTTTTTTTGTTTTTTTGGGGGTCTTTAGACTCTTGAAGGCAACTCAGGGTATTATCCACCCAGCTCTCTGGTTAGGCTTCTCCCAGGGTATGATCCTGGCATTTCCTTTATAGATGTACTTGGACTGGCCGGGGCCCGACCTGTCGTCAGGAGTCCAAACCTCTGAGGTCTGATCTCTGCTCTGTCAAAGACTTCAGGCAAGTCTCGTGACCTCTTGCTCTTTCACTTCCTCCCCAGCTGCCAAATGGGGATAAATAGTCTTACCTACCTCCTGAGGGGAGGGGAAGTTCTGAGAATGGAGTCATTCTTAGTGTTCAGGTGCTAAAGGTTGTTCTCTTGGGGGGACAGAGTGACTGAAACTGGCTTGTTTGCTACAAGCCCGATAGTCCATGGTTTCATTCCTTGAAAGCAGTTACCTGGTCACTCAGCTTTTCAGGGAGGGGAGGTGTCCATCCAAAGGAAGCTGCTGACCTGACTGAGGGTACTTCAGTCTCCGGGTCATGTCGGAGCAAACACCAACCTTGTACTGCGTTTGGGATCATGTCCTTTCCCTTCTCCGCCCCCCATTATCTCTCAATGCTGCTTTCTCTGGTTTGTTTCCTACAGCGGGGGCCTGTGGGGTTGAGTCTTGAGGCATCCCCTCAGATGAGAGCCTTGGGAGAAGGCCCCATCTCTGGCTGTTTCATGAGCAACTCATTCCTAGGGCTTATTGTTTGCACGGGTTTCTCGCAAGCGTCCTTCCTCATAGGAAGTCTCATCAGCTGAATATGGTGACATGCACACAGTAGATGCTCAAGAAGCATCCACAAGGACACCACCTGAGCTTCTTCCTTATGGGAGCAAAGCTGTATCTAGTCAGATACCAGCCTAGTAGTTTAAATCAAATCACCCTCCACTTGGGCCAGTTGTGACTTTCCAGCCAGGTAACTCCTGCTGAATCCTGGAAAGAGATTCTTGAGGAACTTGGCAAGTTGGGCCCTGACCTTTCTGCTGCTGTTCTGTCTCTTGCTGGTAAAGCAGTACCAGCAGCTCCCATGATATCGTGCCATGCATATGTAACATATTAATACTTGATTTTGCTGAGTTGCAAAGGTATCTTTCATAAAGTATGGTCCCCCAGGAAGAGAAGGCCTGGGCTTGAAATCTTGGTCAGAGCTGTGGCATTCCCCTTGTCTTTTCCCTCTGGTTCAGTCTTTTCTTCCAGGCACGAGAAATAAGAGTAACCTGTGGTGTGTCCATTCTTCCTTATAGGAATTTCCTAAGTTTGCAAGAGACTTGAGAGTGGTTTTAAGAGAGTGATCATTTTAGTGGGGAAGTTGTGAGCTTTTTGGGAATGGGCAGTTGATGAAGGCCAGAGCCAGTCCCTTTTCAGTGGTAGGACATTCTCGGAGCTTCCAGGATAGAAGGGAGGACTGCTCACTCTCTGGCACTATACAGAAACGTCCATACCAATTTGGGAGAAGGGGAACCCAGTAAAGGAGGGTAACAACCTAAGTCTTGAGTCATCATTCCTTTCAAGATTACCGTACATGGGGGAGCGGGTGGCACGGGGGAACCGGCTCTGGGAGTTAAGAGCTGAGTGTTTGTACCTGAGGGGAGGGGCCCCAGGAGATCTGGACTGACCCTTCCATACTCTTGGTCCCAGTTGGTCGTAACACCAAGGACTTTGCTCTGTGCTGCTTTGCCACTGCTGCTGTCTGCTCAGTGTCCTGCCTGCTATCCTCTGGAGCTCCCAGTCCTTTCATGTCTTCGGCCATGTAGATTGAGTCCAGGCATCCTGTTCTTTCTTACCTGTGTTGTACCAGTGTTATTTTATGGCAAAGTCATATTGAATAGGGACGGTATGAAATGCTGCTGGTGGGCTGGCAAATCCAAAGGGATATGGCCTCAGTGCTGTCAGGAGCCCTTTGGCTCCAAATGTCTGCCTGTCTTGAGGGAGAAACATGTAGGTCCTATTAGTGGGTGTTTTCTGTAGTATTAACTTCTTTCCTTTATGGTATCTTGTATCCTGTTTTAAAAACTGAGTGAGGGGGAACCACATTAGGGCCTGTGCCGCATCCCAGCAAGGTTCATCTAGTTCCAGTTACGCGGACTCTGGGGTTGGGAGAAGGTTTAAAGTTTGGCTGAAATAGCTGCTCAAGTGGGGTTTAATTTTATTTTTACCAGTGGGCATCATAGGTGATTTAGGGGGAAGTACAGGATGGTAGTGTGATTTAAACCTGCAACAGCAGGCATGGAAGAGTTGAGCGTTCACACTGGAGATGAAGGTGGACATGGGTTGACTAGGAAAGGGCCTGGGTCCATTGGAGTAAAGATAACCTGAGGAATTGGCCGTGGGAGATTTGGTCACAGTCTTATAAACAAAGTAAATAGGACAGAGGCCAAGTTTTAGGGAGACGTCTTGGCCTCCTGGGGCTAAGCTGACTAAACCACACTGAAGCTACAGTACCTTTCAGATGGGAAAAAGTGTACACTACAGTTGAAGAGCTGAACCTTACTAGGTTGGATGTTGATCAGTAACCTATTAGCCCTTTGCTGGGAAGCCTTCACCCTCCAGCTTCCCTGGGGTAGGGAAGGTCTCCCACATTATGCAATAATAAAATAAGCATCTGGGTCTTAGCAGCTGTCAGTTGCTCTTTCAACTCTAGGATCCATCTTTGGACCAGAAGCCTGGTCTGGGCCTAGGATGCCACTGGCCCTTGAGATGCTGGAGTTGATTGCACTCTCTCCTTACCTGCAGACTATGCACAGTGCCTGGGGCGGAAGGAGGAGAGGTGTTGCGGTTTGCCCTGCTGCCTCCCCAGCAGGAACAGTAGTCATAAATGCACTTTTCACACTAAAGTTTTCTTTATTAGTTCTCCTGTTAAGCCTAGATCCCTCCCTGGTAGATTGCAAACTCACGTCTGTGTGATCCCAAAGCCACTCACTGCAAATGCCCGGCAGTGAAGATGGCCTGAAATTGGGTTCCTGTCTGCAGTGTGTGTGGCAGCAGCCCATGTGCCTTTACCCATTGTCAAACTTGCAAGCATTTATTTCTGTCTTTATGACTGTCACGGGGACTGAGGTTCTTCAGAGAGAGAGAGAGAGCTGATGACACAGTGGTTTTACACCCACCCCCTTGGACAGGGAGTTTGCACGTATTTGTGAGCTGTGAGTGGTTAGTACAGTTGCTGGTATTGCTGAAGGCAGGGTTGATCCCTCACTTGCTTGATACTTGCATTCAAGAGAATCTAGATTGTGTTGGGGGAGAGGCTGTACTCATGGCAGACTTGAAGTCCCCAACAACCTTCCTAGTCACACAGGATCCCTGTAGCCAAAACAGTATATGTTCCAGCTGCAGAGAGCAGACTGCTCTCAGCTTGCACAGCACCTTAGGAGAGGGAAGAATATATGGATAGGGAATGGGGTGGAGAAAGGATGGGAATGTTGTCATCTGGGCGGCTTTAGGGTCCTACAGAGTGGAGAAGGATGGCACTGGGGAGGTCTGGATGGATCTGGTTTGTGTAGGAGTTCCCTGTAGATAAATTACTGATCCCCCAACTACTATCCCCAGTATGTAATGGCTGAATTAATATGTAATCAACTGCATTGTATCTAAAGCCTTAGAACTAGTCAGGTGCTCCCCCACCCAACACCATTTCTTACCCTCTAATCCTACCTGATCTTTAACAAAGCATTAATAATTCTAAGGATAATCTCTATTTTGTTGTGCTTTTTTGTAACTGTTTTAAATAAATCAATTTGTACTGTATATTTGTACTTTTGTGAGATCCTTTTTGCTGTTTTACCATTTTAAGTCTCTGTACTTGGCTACACACAGATTGTATTTTTATTGTTAATGCTCTTCTTATGGATACCTGCATTTAACTTGTGGACTATGTAAACACAATATCTATCAATATCTATATATCTATATATCTATCTATATAAACTACTAGCTTTTCCTTTTGGTGTTTGCGCCTTCTTCCTATCCCAGCCTTAGGTGGTGGCCATTGGGTGGGGGATAGAAACCCTTTGTGGGAGCACTTATAATGGAGCACAAATGGTACCCATCTTCGTGTGGTGAGCTTGGGGCAGATGGCGTGAGCTTGTCCCGAAGCATGGGCTCTTATCTGTTGGTATGGATTTCAGAGACCCAGAAGTCTACCTGTAGACTTAGATGCTAGCAGAATCAATTACAAGGATGTGTAGGTATCTTCACTGCTGGCCTTTTCCCTACTTCTTTTCTTTATTCAGGAACACTGCCAGAAATTGCTGGAATAAGTCAGCCCCAATCAGAGCTATTGTCTACTAATTAGAAAGCTTGCCACTACTAAGTGGCGTTTATGGAACATTTATTGTGTGCCACAAACTATCCTAAGTGGCTTATGTATATGAACAATCATTTGTTAGTAGCGGTATTTCCATTTTGTGGATGGGGAAGCCAAGGCAGAGGTTAAGTAACTTGCCCAGAGTTGCACAGCTAGTAAGTGGCAGTGCAGTTTTGAACCTAGACATCTAACTCCTGAGTTTGTATTAACTCAGAATTTGTTGTGAAAATTAAATGAGATAATCCACGTAGGGTGCTCAGAATAATCTTTAGCACCTGGTGAGTGCTCACCCATTTTTGAAGCATCCCAGGTAGAACTTCAGCATGGAGCTCTGTGGGAGAAAGGCATTTGGATTAAGTACTTACTTTCTTTTAAATGTATTTTTTAGAACAAATACTTAAGCATGCCTGGTAGGAATTAACCCTAGTTTGGGAGTCAGTTGACAGGATTAAACAGCACTGGACCTGCGGAGGTCAGCGAGGAGTCCAGGTTTCCCTGTTAGGATACTGGAAGAGGTCCACATTCCTGGCATAGTTATTTTTCTGGCTACAATTTAACTAGGGCACTTCCTTCTGGACCTCAAGATCTATAATTATCTAAACTGTACACAACCTTTGGTGCAGGCTAGGAAAGTTCTGTGCTTGTTCTGTACCATCACAGAAACTTTTTAGAAATGACCTCAGCTCTTGTCTCCTCCATGGTTTGGCAGCCATACAAAGTGCTAGAGTAATCATTTTGCTCTAGCCTTCACCACTATTGCCTTGATCTCTCTCATCACCTTACTACTGCAGTTTCCCCAGTGGGTTTTATTATCCTACCTTGGCTCTGGGAAATAAATGAAAACATGGATTACCTCTTCTCTCACACATGAGTTCCTTGGTGCTATGGACCTTAATGTTGCAGCCATTGCTATGAACATATTCCTAGGTGCGGCAGACTTTCATTTGAGATAGAATTTTAAATGTTCAACAAACAATATTGCTAGGAAAAGTCACCTGCACCTGGTTCAAAGTACTGCACAGTCTAGAAAATGCCAGTTATGAGGGAAGGCCTCTACTACTTCCGAGTTTGGAAAAGGCAAGCTAGGTTTAAATAGCCCTTGGGACGGTGGAGCTCTCCATTATGGTTGTGGGAATGGATCCTCACAAAGTCGGCATCAGTTCTTCCTTCGATGTCAGTTCTTCCTCGTCAACTTGTAAAGGCCCAAATAAGGGACCTCTGCTTGGACAGCCTAAGTTGAGGAGCACCCTCCCTCAGAAAAGGGCAAACACCAGAAGTTGCTGCCTGAAAACTCGTACCCAGGTCTCTCCTAGATCACATTATTTGCTTGAATGAAACTGAGAGAAAAGCAGGAAAGGGCCAGTAAAGATAAAATTAATTTATTTGCCCTCACAACTTCGTGGGCCACACTGGGGCCCCATGGTCCTATGAGCATGGCCTGCAGCAGTGGGCTGGGAAGTCCCGTGCTCTGGAGTACCTGCTCCCTGTCCGGAGCTGCCCAGAGCCAGGTTCCTCCTGACCTCGTTCATCATCCTGCTCCCACATGCAAGGGGTGCACAGGTCCACCTGCAACACACCCGGGCCTGCCTCTGGCCGCAGGACAGGGCCTTATGGGTGGCGGCAGCACTGGTCCTTGTGGGCCTGGGTTGGTGGGCGGGCAGGGGGGCAGGCAGGAGAGCGTGGTTCAGTGCAGAGAGCTGCTGTTCTGCTCTTCGAAGGCCATCTTGCCCAGAAGCTGGCTGTCCAACTCCACCCCACTTACAGGTAGCTGGAAGAAGTTCATTTCAGCTGCCAAGGCTGCCATGGCAGAAGGGTCCTGGCCAAACTGAGCTCGCAACATCATGTCCATTTTCTCCAGCCTCCTCTTGAGCCGCTTGGCCTCCCGCTCTCGGATGAGTCGGGCCTGCCGCTTCTCTGGGGTCTCGTTGGCCCGCTTCAGCCTCATGGCCTCCCGATCCCGCTGCAGCCTGCGTGCCCGCTGCTCGTCTGTCTCCTGCATGCGCTGCAAGCGCTTGGCTTCACGGTCCCTCATGCGCCTCACCTCCCGCTCCTCGGGGGTCTCTTTGTCCCGCCGGCTCTTCTTGGCCGTGCGCTCTCGTTCCAGCCGCTGCAGCCGTACTTCCAAAGGCTCATTCTGTCGACGTAGGGCCCACTTGCGTACGCTGGGGGTCTGGGCTTCCAGTAGCTTCCGGTAGGCAGCACAGTTGTTGCACACAAGCAGAATTCCAGCAGGGTACACTGGAGGACTGAAGGCAATGTCCTTCCCCTCGGCACTGGAGGGGCCCTCATTGTGGGCTGGGGGTAGGGATTCCATATTAAGTACTTCAGGAAGTTTCTCGCTGGAATGCAAAAATTTGGGATGGTTAGTGTTTTCTTCTAGCAAGGCTCAGATATTCAGCCCTGGCTTACTCCTGGCCTACCAGACCAGTTGCTTCGAGTTCACCGCTAGAGGTCAGTTTGAATGACTGGCAGACCTCTTCTACCTCTCCACCCGTTATCCTCCGTGGGCTAGAGCGTCTACCAAGCCTTAAAGCCCCCCTGGAGTTAATGACTGAGCCAAATGCCACAATGAACCAGAAATCAGAGGAGCCCTTACAGTGTGGAGTTTTCATTCAAGCTGGAAGGACGGTGTTTGGAAAGGCTGTGCAGCGCCAGTCCCACTGTGGGAACGGCGGCTCCTGGAGGTGGAGACCGCCTTTAGTGAAGGCGTACACCACTGACCCACCTCCTCTCCTGGCACCGCCTGCAGTGCAAAGGCAGAGTCTGCGCTGTATAGTAGGCAGACGGGATGAGGACACACTGTTCACATAGTTCCAGTCTTCCTAGGAAACAGTGGAGACCATGTCCTCATGCCGGGGTCCTCTCAGAACCCTGTAACTTCTTTCTCTATGCTTCCTCATGAATGTCCTTAGACTTCCCTACATCTCTTCCTAGTTGAAAATATTATTCTGATGGGAAAAGAAATGGGAATTCATTTCCCTTTGGGGATAGCTAACGAAAAAGGCATCTTTCTTTGCCTCTTACTTGTATTTCCAAATAGTCATGAGTCAGCTGCCTACGCATTACCTGTCTGTTGCCTTCCCTTTGACTTGGGAAAGCAGAACCCACACCCAGTAATTTGCTCCCAGCACAACAAGAGTAGGCGCCCGGCTAACCTGTTAAAAGTGGCATGGCTGGTGAAACGGGCTCCACACACAGCACAGTTAGAACGCTGGTCCTCCGAGTGGATTAGGAGGTGGCGACCCAGTGACCCCGGGGAGCTAAGAGCCCGGCCACAGACGGGACACATGTAGCTCTTGGCACTCACCACTGCTGCAGTGTGCTGTAAAACAAAGCCTTAATCTGTCAGTCTTGCACTGCTTCCAGGACAATCTGCATCCACTTAGAAACTACTTTCTAGGAAATGTCCCCTTTCCTCAGTCTGGGAACAAGGCACTTGCAATTATTCTCTCTGGCCCCTGGAAAGTTCACAGTTTCCGGGTTAGTGGGCCTTCAGAAGGGCCTGGCCATTCAGACCATTGCTCAGATTTCATTAGTTGAGCTCTGACTACATTCTGGGAAACGTGGCTGGCTCGAGGAACAGTGGGGCGCCAGAGCCCTCTTCAGAGGCTCAGGATTATTTCTCCCTGTCTCCCTAGTTCACTGTGCAGGTATGAGTACGTGTTAAGGGAGTGATAAAGGCCAATCTAGAAGCTGGCTGGGAATACTGGTATGCGACAGGTATTTATATTCTGCCTGTCCTCGATCTTTTTAAGACAGTCTTCCAAAGAAATACTTCTCACGAACCAAGTGTCTTCATGGTACAACCCAGGCTGGCATGTGTGCTAATGCCTTGTCACTAAGATCACAAGACACAGGTGCTCTGCAAATGGACCATGGTAAAATCAGACACAAAAGTCTGATTCTGGTCTTCTTGTTTATACTAACTTCATTGGTATTTCAGAAACATTTATGTTAACTAATGTTTTTCTTTAAAACAAAGTCCTCATTATTAATAGATGTTAGTTTCTATTTCACTGTTTAAAATACGTATTAATAATTTTGAAAAACACAATGATACTTAATTTTCACAGTGTGTCTGCCTGGGAACCCAGAATGTATTTATACAACATATCCCCCTGATTCTCTAAAATGCTTAGAGGACTGGAGTGGAATCTTAATGGAAGCGACGACCCAAGATTCCTCAGGAGCCTGAGGCCCAGGCAGGGTCCAGGCTACAAACAAGCTGCCAGTGCACACGGCCCCCCACACCACACCTGGTACACGTGAGCGATCAGCTGCTCCCGACTCCCGCAGTCCAGCTGGCAAAGGGGACACTGGCAGAGTTCAAGCAAGGGGTCAGAATTCAGATTCTCTGCGACCTGCGATTCAACAGAGCAGCAACTCATTAGTACTCTCACTAGTCTCTTCACTGCCCTCCCCTGCCTTTTAAACAGGGGAT